ACTTTGAGAGTTCAATAAGCTTTTAAAAACTTTAGTCTTTGAGGAACATTCCTTGAATGCTTATAATGTAAAATCAAATATAATTAATTTAATCGGTAACTTTTTAAATCTAGTAAGTCTTTTCTAAGTCATACGTAAAAATACTAAGGTTTGTCTCAGGATTTAATTTATAGTCCTACTTCTGCAAAGCACAAAGGTGGCATCAAGTTTGGGGTTTTGTTTTTTTCATTAATTATGCCAGCTAGATTTTAAATCTTCACGAGAAAGGAGCTGTGCTAGCTATGAAATGTAAGGCACAACTTTAAATGTTTGTTTCAAACTGCATTTATCTGGAAACAATTTTTAAAGTAGAATCTTGCTGTTGTTTTGCTCTAAAGTCTTAAAATCTCCTTCCACCTTTTTTTAATATTAGGACTCATATGAGCGAGCAAAGAACATCCTGAAGACTCATGCAAAAGAACACAAGAATTTAGCAGAAGCTCTATTGAAATACGAGACTTTGGATGCCAAAGAAATCCAAATTGTTTTAGAGGGAAAAAAACTAGAAGTAAGATGATAACTTCTGGGATACAGTAACTGATAATTTGAGGAATGTACATCTAGCAATGCAGTAGTCTTATGCAGCATAGCCTTCTTTTCCCTTCATGATGTGTGTATGGCATTGGTGACACTTTAATATTATCCTTTCTCTTGTGAGCTTCTGTTACTCATCTATTTGTTGTGTCTCATCAAAATAAGACACACAAAATAAAGCAAGTTCCTCATCCTCTGCTCTCTGTACTCTTCCCACAAAAAGTTATTTAGAAGGATAAATCTCAGGGTTGAATTCAGCATTTTGGTTTAGTCAACTGTGTTGAAGCCGACCAGAAAAACATGCATACATGCTGGTGTGTTTTGGCATAGCTTCCCGGGTCATCCTGCTGCATGTGCGTTTGAAATGATACCCCACAACATGTGCGATGGAATGTTTTATGGATAGTGACAGATTGATTTGTAAAACAGTAGAGTGTCGTCTAACTCGCGCTCATACTCTGAGGCTAGAGATCACCCTTAAAGAAGACTTCTTATTTAGAAATGTAACAGAACATCTCTAAGAAGGAAGCAGCTACACAGTGCACCTCTATTAAAGGGACTTGTGGGAGCTCCATGTTAGAAAAAAAACATTAGTGATTGTGTTTTCAGTGCTCTTGGGATTAAAATACACACATGTATGGCTGGGAGAGAAACCTTAATGCAAAAACAACAGGCTAAACATGTCTTTGGACCATGTTTTGGGCAGAACCGTGGCAGGGATAAGAGAAATACCTGTGACCTTTGATGTGCTGCTGACAAGATTCTTAGATTTTTTTTATTATTACTGCAGTAGATGGATAATAGTGCTTTGACAGTGCTTTTACACTGCTGGAGATTCTACAGAATTAGTTTCTACTAATACTATGTACGGGCGTTTGATAGTCCAACTGATAATTTCTTCAAAGAGGACAATGTTGCTCACTAAAGAGTAGTTCAGAAATGTTTGAAGCATGTGTTGTTTCAAATAACATTCCCAGTTCTGTTCTACAGTAGAAGTAGGGAAATAAAACCTTTTCCTTCAGCCCTTAAAGAAACCTCTGGAAATTCTAAAATAATAAAATGTTTTTGAAAACAAAAGCAGTTTCCAATCAAATGGAAGTGATTGCTAGCAATTATATGTCAGTATTCTTCTGATCTCGTGGAACTGGTTTTTAGGAATAACTCCTCTTGATCATAATCTTTCTGCACAATTAATTGTAGAGTCTTGGGACTGTAAACTTCTGTTGCAGAGAGGGCCTTTATTGGCATATTAATGTTGAAGGTTACCATTCTTGGACATTAAAATAGTTGGGTTTGTGCCAATAAATGGGAATGGAAATTGGTTGCTACACTTAAAACTAGAAGTAACATAGTATTTTAGAATTTTCTGAGTGTAATGCTTGATTATAACCTAGTTTTTTAGTAAGAGTACATGCATTTTTTTTTCTTTCAAAACCAGGATAACTTTCTATTTGCCTATTTTTGTCAGCTTACTGTAGTGACATCCCAGTACAGTGTGGGAGAACTTCGAAATGTTACAAAACAGTATACCAAATGTCTAGGCTGACTAGTTACAGTTGTACATGTATTTTAGAAATATGCCAACAGAAATATACTGCATATTTGGCATCTGTTTTTGAAGTAATAAAGGTTAATTTTAATTATGCATATTGGTTTTCTTTTTATTCACTGTAAATTGTTATAAAATGTAATACCAAGTTCCCTACTATGTAAATTGAGGTGTATAAAACATTTAAACTTGTAAATAAATTTAAGAATGATGGCAAAATTGCACTCTCTAAGCAAATTTCTAGGGAATGTTCTCCCTAGAAATTCAGGTCTTTTTTCAAGAAGTTTCAGAAGTGGGACTTGGATAAGAACTTTTCCAGATAAATAATGTGAATCTGCATCTAGAAAGGAAAGTGAAAAACTTCTGACTTTTCAAGTCACTAAAATCTATATAGAATGATCTGGTTTGGTGGGTAAGTCCTTGAGGTCTTATCTTTCTCATTCAAAAGCTTCTTGCTGTATGCAAAGAACAAGTGACCACAGTCATAAAACAACAACAACAAAAAAAAGTGGTATCTCATTGGGTCACGAAAGGAGACTGTTAGAGATTAGTCATCAGGTGTAAAAGGTGTCTTTGCTTTCTGGCCAGCTTACCAGCAGAGGTGTTATTGAAGAGTTTATTGTTATACCTAGATGGTTGTGTGCATGCGGTATCTAAGGTTTCAAGGAAACTTGTCTACGTAGGCATTGGGTTTGACCTCTGGTGTTCTCGGGTGCATCTAGGAGCTGAAATTCCTCCTCACAGAATCACTGGACAGAGGTAGGAGACCACAAAGGCAGCTTCCAAACATCAGTCAGATGGTGAGAATAACCCGAGTTCCCTTTAAGTACACAGCCTCATGTTGATGAAAACAGGGCAGAGCTAGGTGCCTTGATGGACCGTTTGCTTTTTAAATAGCCCTAAACTGGTCATAAACATGGTGGCACATAAAACAAGAACTTCAAACTAGGGCACGGTTCTGAATTTCCTGCATTTCCAAAGCTGACATATGCTAAAATTCTGCTATCAAGCTTAATACAAAGAAAATGCAAACTTCTACTGAAAGATGTGGCCTGCTTCTTCTGGCTGCTTCCTACTGTGTGATGACCTGAGTCAGTTGAAATGTCACAATAGGTTTTTTTACTCTTGATCCCTTAAACTGGCTGCGAAAACAGAGCAATCAAGCCATTGCTAGCTATGCGCTCTCTTGATCTGCTCAGAAACCTTTCCTAGAAGCAAGTAGAGCTATTTTTGCTTCCAAAACATGGCCAAAGAACAGAATGAGAGGCCTACTCACGAAGTAGGCCACGCACTCTACTTCCCTCAGAAGTAGATTTCCATTCTTTTTCCAAGAGCATGACTCCCATTCTTTCTCTCTAGTATTTATTAAGATGCCCCCCTCTGGTGTTGGCCAAAGTGAGTGCATCATCTGCTCCTTTGCCAGCTTCATCAGTGCAGAAATGGCTGTATTGTTTGCCATAATAAAAGCACTAATATGGACACTGAAACATTTAAAGGGAGAAGTGAAGACTCCAGTGCATGGGGTTGGGTTTTTTGGTTTTGTTTTTCTTAACTCTAGCTTTGTGGCTAGTGCCCTGACTTAGGTAATGCTGCTGGCATTAACACTGAGATTCTGTGATGTATACCACATTGGCTGTAGTAGCATTGGATTTTGACTTCCACCTCAGGAGCAGATGTCTTCTAAGATTGATACTACTTTTCAGTCTATGACTATGATTTCAAGAACTGCTTCTCCTTCTTTGAACAAAACTTGCTCTTCAACTTTGGAGCATCGCAAGACTTGTAACTTTTTTTATAAACATTTACCTATTATTACAGAGCTACTTTCACAGTAGAATATTCAGCCACCTTAGTCATGAAACAACACACCCAGATTTATCTGAGTATCTTTCTAGGTAGAAAGGTTCCACAGAAAAACTGGAATGAGAAGGAAACATAACATTCTTTGGAGATAGAAATTTGCAGGAAAGTTTAGACTACCTTTTGCAAAGAATTTAATGTAAGAATCCTCAGGCTGTCGTAGGTAGAGCGGTGGCTGATAGCGTGATTGGTGGTGATGTTTGTTTTGTTTTAATCTCTACAAAGCAAAAAAAGCCTATTGCTCTAGGACCTAGGGATGAAGGTAGGTATGGAAAATATGCATAAGCACTTCTGTTTTTATGCACATTAAGTACTCCTCCAAAAAACAGCTCCATGCTTGCTTTCATTTTGCGTTTAAAAAGGAGTATGTGACATGTCTTAATAATGACTGTAGTTAGTCTTCAGAGCATCTGCCTAAAGGTTTTATTTTCATCCATCACTGTAGTATTTGAGCAACTAGCATAAAGTATTATTCTGATATTCATAGCAAAGTTCCAAGTGTTCTCCCGCATGGTCTTCCCCCCTCTGCCCGCCCCCCCCCCCCCAATTTGAGAGGGTCTGCTCAGAATCAAAATTTTTTGAGAAGTTTGATTTTAATTTCCTTTTTTGTGGTAACTTGGTTAATAACAGCTTTTGGACACAAAGTTGCCAGTGTTCTTTGATAAATGTTTTTGTTGCATTCCAGATTCGGTCAATACTGGGTAACTGGTTGCACAATTTCTTTAACGTGATATGGTGGTCAGTGTTTGTAATAACATTAATACATTCAGTAAGCAAGTCACAAAAAAAGGTTTAACAACATTAAAGTGTTACTCAAGCACACACAGAAACGAGAAATGCAAATCCATTCTGGGGGTTTTCATTTATCCTTCTGTTATTTTTCTTGCTTGGCTTTTCTGAAGGCCTTGCTTCCCTGTTGTATTCATTTTTCTGTCCTTCATTTTCTTCATTTCTTATATTCCCTGAAAGTCACTGCATTTTAATCTACATGTAATAAATATATAGTATTTACATTTAGTCATGGACAGTCTTTATCGTTTCTAAACCTGTGCTCTAGTATTTTAGGTTTGGTACTGTGGGGTGATCCGCCAAAGTTTCCAAAAAAGGTTAAAAACACTGGAATAAAAACAAGGCCGTGAAGAGCCCCAAACAAAATAACAAGGAACATGATCTTGAAAAATGTCCTAAAGATGTAGGCTTTTGCTGCAGCCAGGACAACTACTCCTAATATAGTAGAAACTGCACCTTGTAACACTGGATAACCCATCAGGGACAGAGCTTCGATTGCCCTTTTATTGGCTGATGACTCTCCACTCGTAACAAAGGCATAGGAAATATGAGCAGAAAAATCTACTGAAAACCCTATGCAAATGACCAGGCTGATCATGGATATGCAATCTAGACTGATTTTCCAAAATGTCATGAAACCAGCAACACCAACGATAACGGAAGTTATAGCGAAGGTCACCCACAAGCAACACAACGGGTTGGGAATCAGCAAAAGGGAGATGACAAGCATTGCTCCAGCAGCAACGACGACGTTCTGAATGGTGTTCTGCACTATTACCAGGTACTGATCGTAGTAGATGAACGCTGGGTGATACACCATTAATGGAATGGTGCACTGCTCGGCTGTCTCTCTTAGCTGATTGAGAAGATTCTTCTCATCAATGGCTGAGGTCACATTCACTGTCTGGATGAAGAAACGTGATGCTTCTATTGTATCCCCAGTCTTGTTAATGTCCCACTCAAAACTGGGAACGATTCGGAACAGTTTAGGTAGGTTATTAATGAAAAGAGTCTTATTGCTTATATTTATCAAACCAATTTTGGCAAGATTTGTGTATACCGTCAACCATGACTCTGACAGGTTCTTATCGACGTAAGAAATGCTCTCTAAATTCTGTGTGCAGTTCTCAATGACAAGACGAACAGTCTCATTCCAGTAATCTACACTTTCAGTAATGACAACCATGACCCTGGGTCCATATGTTGAGAAGTATTTGTCGTCGTTGTAGTATGGAATGACATAAGAGTCATCAGTTGCCAGATTTCGAAGATCGATGCCTTCCCTGATCTGAGTACATCCATAAATACTGCCACCCAAGTATGCTCCATACAGCAACACCACAAGTACCTTGATCCATTTATTTGTAAAAAAAGGACCATAATACTTTTTAAAGAATGTGCTCATTGGATGTTCACTTTCTGGCTGAGATGACTCCCCAGAACAGTTGCCAATACAGCAAGCGTTGTACAAGCAGGACTTCTCAGCCTGACCTTCATCTACTCCCACAGGCATACAAGTTAGCCAGTGTCGGTTTCCTTGCTCCCTTTTATGATTTAATACAATAATTGCCCCAAAGAAGGTCAGGGTATATATATAGCAGAAGACAAAAGCGGTGCCTGTATAGAGGCAAAATGATCTCACAGATGGAAAAGCAGTCCAGGTGCCAATGAAGAAGGCCAAAACATCTGTGAGAGTGGTGATGGTCACAGAAAGTGCTGCTTCTGAGTAAGTCTCAGCCAGCCGAGATTTAACATTGGATTTCTCTTTTTTCCCTGAACTTTGTTCCCAGCAAGCAATCATGATGAACATGTCATCAACACCAACTCCTGCAAGAAGAGAAAAAGTTAACGCTGCATTGCAAATGGCAGCTTCCACTAACACCCAACAAAAGCACAAAATGAATCACGTTTACGTCCGCATAAAATTTTGAAAAAGCAACTTAGGCTATTAACATTGCTTCAGTGCTGATGCTCATTAAACTGATACAGGAAAACAGATCCTTTGCGTGTGGCTGAATTTGTTACATTTCAGAAGCTCCTGGTGACCTGATGGGTTGTTGATCCCTCACCCTACTCTGCTGAAGGACTGAGCACACCTAGTCAGTCCATCTCTGACAAGTGTCTGCTTGTCCAGGTGTCCAGATTCCATAGATTTAAATACCTGACTTATTCTGATGCTCACCTATCCTTATCACTGGATGCGTCCCCCATCACCTCTGGAATCTCTTCTTCATCACTGCAGCAAATTAGGCCAGTAATTTCTTGCTCTGCCTTCAGCAGACAGGGAGAACAGCTGCTCTCACGTGGGAGAACAGTGGTCCCTGTTCTCCAGTGGTTTGCTTTTTTATGCTCTTTGCTCTCCACTGATCGTCTCTCCAGTTTATCTTTGAGCATTTACTCATGATGTATTATTAATTTATCTTCACATTTATACTGATGTGTTTGCATATATTACCCACCAGAGTCCTGGGAAAGCCTGCCAAGAAGACTGGGGCCTGGGCTACATTTTTTGCTAAGACACAAGAATAAGCCAGACGAGGTTTGAAAAGGAAGAGCCAATGTGCTTCTCTCAGCTCTGCTAACTCTCGAGATTTTAATCACAGACCTTTCAGTATTTTGCCAATGTTACTCTATCAAGGGCTCTTCTATTCCCTGAAAATTAATCACACAAAAAGGGAAGCAAGACCATGTGAAGAGAGGAGCAAGCAGAGATGATATAGCTAAGCACGAAAGAATAGGTGAAATCAGTATCTGCTGCCTGAACAGGCAATTGCCAGTAGACATGCAAAGATGAATTAAGCAGCACCTTAAAAGGTACTATTGGATGGCAGCGAGCCAGGCTGGTTCCGGAAAGCAGGCAGGCTTCAAAGCAGTTCATCTAATGTACTGATAATTTGTTCGCTTAATGCAAGGAAGACAAAAGCCTGCATGTTATTTATAAAGATCTGAAGAGACTTGATTAAGCCGTTTCCCAGGCATACAGAGGGGTCTTCTTGAATTTTAGAGCCTCTGCAAGTGACGAGCAAACAAAAGCAAATATAAAATGTGTTTGACTTATGCAGGAAACAAAGAAACCATGCGTGCCCTAAGGAGCATCTGCATTAGACATCTGGTATGATGCAGAGCCTCTATCAACCCAAGAGTTCCATCTGCTTTCCTCAGCGTGAGACCAAGACCAAGAAAACATCACATGAACTTATCAAATAGGAGACCAGATAAGGATTTTAAAAGCAGTAATTTATTTGCAGCAAGATTGTCTAATGGTATTTGGAAAGTTCAGCACTGGCTGTCAAGCAGCCTGTGCAACTGTGATGCAATGATTCCAACTTCCTTGCGTTTTGGGGGGCAGCTAGTTGCACAAATGGTGCATCGCTTCAGCTGTATCGCTAAATGAGACTGTTTAGTACGCAGTGGTTACATTGCAGAGGAAATTTCACACCTTAACAAAACATGATGGATTTCTTATTTGAAATTACAGACAGTCCTGCTCACTGCTTCAGCTGCATTCAAGCCCAGTTTTACCTGCCAAAGACTACACTCTGAAAATGGGACACAAAAACATACGGTAACTTATTTCCCATATTCACCCCATAATACAGGGACTGGGTTAAGTCAGTGCTCCTGCAGCACGAACTGCACACTGGATGCATGTTCCATGGTGCTGCTGTTGAGCCACCCTGAGGCTGACAGCGGAGAAGTAGGGAGCTCTCACTGTACTGCAAAAAGAGGTGTTCAAGAGGTGGATGGTTTGGGGATGACCTCTGTACCCGCTTAAATTGCTGACAAATTCAGCAGTCCCATAGAACAGTACTAATAACAAACTGTTTTGGGGTAGACAAACTTATCTGGAGCTAAATGCTTATAGTATGCCTGTGGAAGACAGCAGGGGATGATACAGGGAAATGTGGTGACAGAACCCTGTTGAGCTCACCTCAAGTATTAGCACTAGTTAAATAAATGATTAATCAGCATGGCTAAATTACCAGGGACGCTAGAACAATGCCAGAAGTGCTAATCGTACCACCCTCTCAGTTATAGTTTTCATGCCGTAGCAGTGGAACTAGGGCAGGCATCATCTTTTGGGTCCGCCAGGGCCCAGCTCCAGTCCCGCTGTGGGTACGCTGAGCTGAGCAGCTCCCCCATCTGTGGCAGCTCCCGCTGTGGGTACGCTGAGCTGAGGAGCTCCCCCATCTGTGGCAGCTCCGAGGAGGCTGCACCTCTAAGGGTCACCTCCCCTCAATGCAGAACAGCACTGCGTATGATCTGATGCTCATATCATAAAAGACTAACACCATCGGGTTGTTTTAACACCGCTTTAGTCTTCATATCTGAATCCGACTCGCTTTTTCTACTTACCCAGAATAAGAAATGGTGCATTTGCTACCGTGACCACCACAGAAGAGCATCAATCCAAAGCTGCTTAATACAGCTAAACCAGCAGAAACAACACCACAGCATGCAAGCCAGACATTATTTCTTACACAGCTCAGTCTGAAAATATTTTAAGGAATATATTAGTTACATGTCAAAGATTTCACCAAAGCGTTTGGCATGACAAGTGCACAGATATCAATGAAACCCTGTCTGTGAAAAGAAATCTTGATGAAAACTGCCAGGAGAGCTACCCAACGTGAGCACTGGATAAGATTAATTTATACAGGAGGTACTAAATACATTATTACTGCTGGACAGTGATATACTTAGGAGTAAAGATGTGTACTGATCTTTGCATCAATAACAAGGGAGCTGGCAAAATACATAAACTCTACTAGTGACAGCCTATATATAGGGTGACCCCCAAAATGATGAATTTTTAGCAGGTCTTTCCTTTTACACGGGCTCTTGGTGTAGCATCAGTGTAGTATGGAAGCATCTCCCAGGCACTAAGCGCTGTGTAGAGAAATGTGGCTACCAGCCATTTGCCAAGATGCCCCTAAGGGCTGTCTCAAGGATTCCCCATGAAATGCTCCCAGTGGTAGTACTTTGCACTGCACTGAGGGGGTGGAGAGTTGCCTCTTGCCCGATTAGTAATCTTTTCCAGGCTGTAGACCGTTTCTGAACTTTAAGAGAATCTCTTGTTTCCAAGACAAGAAGCGGGTGTTGGTGGAACCGGCCATGCTCTGACTGCACTCACAAACGAATGGACGAGAGACAGCTGCTATCCAGAATTTTCACAGCTTAATGTGACGCTTGATGCAAGTGCTAAACCAATAAGCCCACCCTCCAAGCAGAACTTTATTTCTCAAGCACAGCACACAAATGCTGCCATATGGTTGTCAAATGTACAATGGTTCACCTTCCTCCAGCACAAAGAAAGGGCAGGCTAAGTTCTTTGTGAGCAGCAGGTAAGGCTCAGACTCTACTCGCAAGCAGAATACCTAAAGCTGTACCCAGACTTGCAGTAATCTATGAAGCTACCGCTCATCCGTCTGTACCTTAACTGAGCAGGTGGCAGAAAAAAGGTGCAAACAGATCTTAACAGGGTATAATTCCCCCTCCCCCCCTGCTTTCTTCCCCTTTTTAACTGATCTTTAGAAAGAATTAGCATCTTGTGAGAAGGATGAGGATAGAAGCTACGAATGAAGCAAGAAAGTAGTAGAATAACCTAAGCAATAGCACCACTTTTTCCTTCCCTCCCCTCAAAGGGCGACTTTCTTGTTTGACTTCTATGCATCTTTTTGGTGAATGAACCCCAGACCAACCCCCATTCATTTGGTGAATGAACCCCAGACCAAAAATTACCACTGGAATAAAAGACGTGTGAACAGCGCGTGAGGGGCAGGTGTATAGATCACAAGGGTATAACTGCCCAGGGATTTCTTTGCTTGATGTCCCTCCCTTTTCAGAGGCACCGAGCCCAGGCTGACCTTGCTGCTTTACCTTTCAATTAAATTCCTTATTTTTATAAAATCTGACACCTGAGACTCTGCTGCGGGAAACCTAGGTTGAGCCTGAAGAAGGAGGGAGCGTGTGAGTGAGACAGAGAGTGAGTGTGTGTGTCTGTATCTGTGTGTGTGTAGTCGGAAGGGGCACCTGTCAGTCCAGTGGCGTCACCCACTGTGAAGGGACCCTGGTCCTGGCAGTTAGAGACTTGGGTGGTGTGTATGCAATTCCTTGAGTGGTGTGTGAATGCTCAGGCAGCAGCTTCTCCTTTAACAATAGTGGTTTTCAGTGCCAAAGCTACAGCACCTCACACCTCTTAAAAAGACGAAGAGTAGGGGGTTGTTTCAGTTGTTTAAATAGTTCCAAACCCATCATCTACAAACAAGATTCTTATGGGGCGCGGAGCACAGAAATGACTGATAGCTTTGGAGAACAGACAAACGGATACTCGCATTCAAGCTTTGTATGTCTGCACTGAGCGCTTATTCAGGTATTTGGCTGGTACTTACCATAAATCCCATTTAAGCAGCTGGGAAATACACACAAGGAGAGAAACATCACAGAAATACATTTTGCCTATTATTACATGAAGTCTGCAGGTTCAAGAACGACTTCACTCAACAAGAACAGAAGCCAATTTAGCCAATTGGCTAAATGACTTCTCATTGACCCATAGCTTAGAAGACACTTTACCTTAGGCAAGAGACGATTGAAAACGTTATTGTCAAGAAATACGTTATGGAGAAGAGTGGGATCACGCTCTTGGTATTTCCTTCAAACTCCTGTTGTCTGGACAGTGAGGTAAAGTAAGTCACCTGTTGTTAAAAGAATAAGGAAAGAAAAGATGAAGCACTTCTCTTTTTCTCGGTCTTTATACACGCAGAGGCAACGCTAAACAACATCTTGGCACTATTGCATTTCCGTGGCCCTCACAACCTGCAGGTCGTGCCCGCCTTTCCCTCCACAGGTATTTCGGGTCTCGCCGGCCCCCACACGGCTGTACCCACCCCTGCGTTACCTTAATGGCGCTGAACTTCTCCAGCTCCGACGGGATGTCCCGCAGGAAGCTTTCCAGCCACCGCCGGCTCTCCGCCGCCTCGGGGCCGTCCTCCCGCAGGAAATAAACC